GATTTGAGCCACCAGCCGGCAGTGATGGCTTGACCAACACAGCCGACTTGAGCCATCAACCGATAGTGTTGGCTTACTCAGCACTATCGGCTTGAGCCACCAGCCGATAGTGTAGGCTTGCTCAACACTGCCGGCTTGAGCCACCAGCCGACAGTGTTGCTTTGACCATCACTGTCGGTTGGGGCTATAAACCGGCAGTGTTGTTCAACTTGACACTGCCGGGGTGGAGCCAGGAACCGACACTCTTGCCTGTAGATCAGTGTCGGTTTATAAGAACCGACAGTGATGTCAACCTCCCATCACTGCCGGTATGCCACTGTTGGTTCAAAATCCGGCAGTGAAGGAGGTTTTTGAACCAACAGTGATGTTAAGATCTGGGGTAGTGAAGTTTAATAAGTCAATAAAAGAGGCTATTTTTCCATTGCCTATGCATGGTGTTGGGGATTTGACTTCGCTATAAAACTTTGTCCCAAAACTTCGGAATTGAAAAACTAACTTTCATATAAAGTTTGCTTGCAGGGTCAATAGGTGAAGACTACATCTTGACTTCGCTCAGAAGAAATGAAGATGCAAAGTCAAGATTAAACTCTGTTCTGTGAAAAAGAGAATGTGAGGTCGTAAAGACTTCGTCTGGCAAGCAAGGACGAGAATGAAGTCGATTTCAAGTCGGATGAAAGCCTAAGGAAGCGATTATCGAAGACAAAATGATGAATTTGCCCTTGTAGTTTAAAAGGGTTGTAATATTAAAAAGAGAGGATTAGAGTCATTTGAGTATCGTTTATGAAGACTAGGACTTTTATAAATACCCCTCTGACATGTACAGTACGATCATGAAATAAATACAACTTTGTACTTGTGTTCAAACTTGGTGTTTGCGTGATTGTCTCACCCAACACATGGTGACTATAGTTGATGAATTGAAGAGCTCGTGATCAGATTTTTCACAAGGAATCTCCATATTGCTCCATGCTCTTACCTTTTGTATCCCCTTAAACCATAACCATCTCAATCAGAGAGCTCTAGTGAACCTCTCTAAGTCGAGTATCCCTAGTCCTCCCTTCGCTTTGGGAAGGCAAGTGGTGGGCTAGTTGATGAACGAATGTCCTCCAATGACGTTCTCAGGTGTTTCTCCTTGTCGAAGAAAACTAAGTCATATCCTGTTGATTCTTTTGAGTAGCCATTTCTGCGCCTGGAACACTGTCAAATGCGTTAGAACCCATTTTAATATTGTTTCTCTGCCAGATGTTGACAAGAATTTACCTTTCCACCCCGGGAGACTGGCACCAATCTTGTCTATTACCAGCTGGACCTCCACCTTTCTTAATTTCTGGGTATATGTAATGGAGGCCCTAAATAATTTCCTAGGAAGGTGCCTATTTGTTGAATATATGCCCAAGAGGCAATCATCCATATCTATACCCATGCTAACGGGCCTTTAGAGTAAAAGCCTATTTGCAGTGGTCTACATATAGAAGAGGCAAGGGGCTAGGGCCTAGGGTTGGGGGACACACACACACACCACACAACTGAGCTGCCGCTGCCGCCTCTCTCTCTCTCTCTCTCTCTCTCTCTCTCTCCCACCCTAGGGCTGCGGGCGCTCAAAACACCGCCGCCGTCACCTTCCACTCGCTGCACACGCGGTGCTAGCACACTGGCATCGCGGCGTTCCATCCTCGTACGTGTGGACACCGTGGAGACACCGCCGCTGCTACGGTGTTGATCGGCAATGAACGTAAGGTGCACAACAAACGTGTATGACTACCACTACATCAATGTGCTCCTCTTTCGCTGCACTGCACATCTAGTAGTAACGATCCATGATCCTCTACTCGCATGTTATCCTGACGTGGTAGATGTGCTAGCGCGTAGCGTACTCGTTTTCCTACACTATTTTCCCTGGTAAGTTGTGGATGAGCGAAGGGACCATGTTAGGTTGGAACCATATTGGGAAAAAAATCGGTCTTGGACATGTTAATTCTGCATAGCCCTGAACAATTTCCAAAGAAAGGTAGGATTTTTTTGTAAGCTGCTTAGCTCCTCTAAAGATGGGTTTGCAAACAAAGCCGCATCATTGGCGTAGAGAGAGCACCGCAAGTTTGCTGCTTTCGGTAGAACCAGTTGTAGGATACCGTATTGTGTCGCCCGTTCAATGATTCGTTGTAGCAGGTTTACTACTAAGACAAAAAGTAGGGGTGAAAGCCGATCGTCTTGCCTCAGTCATCTTGCATATTTTGATGTTTTGACTTGGTCTTCCATTTATGAGAGTTTTGGATGAGGAGGACCACAGGATTGTTGATATCCAATTACACCATTTTGTGCTAAAACCAAACGCAGTTAGAACTTCCAGAAGGTATGGTCATCCTATGGAGTTGAAAGCTTTGGAGATGTATAAAGAAAGTTGGCTACTATTTTTGCAGAAGTTGAATCACTCTTTGTACATAAAGGAAATTCTTGTGTATACACCTTTTCTTGATGAATGCATTCTGAGCATGTGAAACCAACTCATTCATATATGGAGTTAGTCTATTTGCAAGGATTTTTGTGATGATTTTGACGAGACTGTTAATTAGGCTAATCGGTCTATACTCAGACATTGTTTGTGCTTCCTGTTTGGGGAGTAGAACTATATTTGCTTCATTGAATAGATGCATTTTTGGGTTCTGTGATTGTCGCTCTTGATTGTCTCCCAACTTTGCTTCTAGAAAATACTGATAAAACCATCGGGGCCTTTTCCAGTGGAAGCTCCTTGATTATGCTAACAAGCTCATGCTCTGTAAACAGCATGTCCAGTTCATCAAGGTTATGTAGAGAGTAACTCAGCATCTCCCAACTGATGGCCCACGTTCTTGTTGTTCCTGTTCCTACAGCTTTGGCGAAGAACTCAACAGCGACCTTTTGTTTTACAACGTTGAGAAATTTTCTTCGCCTAGCATTTGCAAGTAGTTGGAAAAAAACGAGTATTAATATCTCCTTTCAGTATCCAGGACGGTCGAGAGTGTTGTCTCACCTTTGCTTTCTGTACTGCGGCCAGACTCATTGATTTTGCCTTAAGATATTTCTTGAATTCCACTTCTATTTGTCATTACGGGGCGTCTTTCTTGTGCCTTCTCTAGCTCTAACAGGACTATGTGAAGGACGCCGTTCCTTAGTTTCCATTCACTAACTGTGTACACCTCCATACTTTTTAATGCTCTTGCCGTGCGGAGGAGCTAGCTTGACGTGCATGCACAACATAGTGTCTTGAGTGTTTACTGTATCTTCCCATGTTGTTTGAACCTCTATATTATAAACCCCGGCATATTTACCAAGTAGGCCTCAAAACGGAAACCTCGGTAAAATTCAAAAGTAATATCCCCTTGCAGGAACAAAGGATACGGTGATCCCACTATTTTGCTATGTGAGCCCACTTCTCTTATTTTTTTGACTTTTATTTTGATTATGCTACTCAAGTTTTGTATCTGACTTTTATTTTTTGACGTGGCATACTCGTCTTAAGAAGTCATCTGTTCCAAATCCCTAAACATATTTCTATTTTGTAGACTATTCCTGTCATGTAAGCCCACTTTTAGATCGAGGTTAGTTTTAAGTACTGCATATGTAAATATGGCAAATATATACATTTATGAAATAAACTACATTCAAGACAAACCTACCCACATCACCACTTCCATACATTCAAACTAAGCATGTAGACATAATTCAATGGTGAAGGTTTCGAAATGATTGACGTATGACAACCTGAAATAATGTCACTTAATAAAAAATATTTGTAGTCAAAGTTTTTGAAACGATTGACCTACGACAACATCAAAATGCCACTTATTAATTGTTTTGTGAGCAGAGAGAGTATATATTTTGGCAAGTTACCCTCCATCCAAAAATCTAAAACACATTTTTTTGGACAGTAATGATTTGACCAATAGGTGCCGGTGCCATATTTATATTATATAAATCATAGCTACTTTTGAATACAAATATCTAGTTATATCAATGTCGTGCCACGAAAATTGCAAGTATTTTGGTTAAAAGCCATGTCTAACAAAACATGAGCTTTGGGATGGAGGATATATATCATATAGGTGCATACGTTTAGTAGTCTCTTCGTTTCAATTTATAGTTTGTTTTGGTTTTTCTAGATACAATTTTTTTTATATATTTAGACAACTTTACTATGTATATAGACACATCGGAACATAAAAAAAACTGAATATCTAGAAAAAGTCAAAACAATCTATAATTTAGGATGGTGGTAATAATTATACATGTACGTTCTGCTAGCACAAACAACGGCTCTGTTTTCTAGTTTTCGTTCATCAGATGAATTCTGTATTTGAAGAGTAGTGCGTGCCGTCATCTCTCATGAAAAAAGCGTGCCAGCTAGGTACTTGTTTTAATTTCCACCGTGTGAGTATTTTTTTTTCAAGTGGCGAGTTAATTAAATAAAACCATTTATTAATTTCTCAAATCACAATCCCGTCTTCAAATCCTCGAGTCTGCAACCCAGTTTTTAGTTAGGTGCTATAAGTAGTTGCACATATACTGACCAAGCGTTTGGGAGTAGCAGTCACATGGCGCATGCATAATAACAATTTGCTAACAAAAAGATGTGCGTGCATGTATCATAAGGTAGCGCAGTGATCGAACATACTAGTACAAACCAGGAGCGAGAGCGTACACGGAAATAAATAAACACCGCACACACAGTGCATGCACTCAAAAATAAACCCAACAACAAGCAAAAGGGCATCTCTCACTCATGCACACACGTACACACGGACGTGCATACACGCTACGATGCAAGCGTATCACAGCGTACACGACGACACGTAAGTACAAACGGAGAGATTTTTATTCAGTAGTACTCCACGACGTAGCAGTAAACAACTCATCATCACGCGTAGATAGATAGATAGATACTCATGCATACATGGTCGTCGATGCTCCGGCGCCGACGACGGCGGCGGAATGGATCATCGATCGATCATCAGGCTGTCGTTGGTTTAGCTCACCCTGCATGGAAGACGAAGCACAAGTTAAACGACTTGCTTGTTGAGTCATCAGTGCATGCATGCATGCATGCAACTCTATATGCAAGTGGCAGTGATTCATTCAGAATTCAGATCATCACTTTGTACTAGCCCTGGCTAGATGTACCTGGAGCAGTCGGTGGAGGTGCTGATGGTGTAAGGGACGTTGACGCCGCACTTGGAGGGGATGCTGGCGGCGTTGCCGGCGTTGAGGCCGCTGATGCCCCGGGCGGCGTTCTTGAGGCAGTTGCAGGCGGTGCGCTTGTCGGCGGTGCTGCGGGCGGCGTTGTTGAGGCTCCTGACGCCGCTGCAGCAGCCCGCGGAGGGCGCGGAGCCCTGGCCGCGGGCGTAGGACAGGCACGGCGAGATGGCGGAGCTCACCTGCCCGCAGGTGATGGCCGCCTCCGAGGTCGTCGCTGCTGCGGCCAGCAGCACCACCGCTGCCACGACGGCGATCGCCACAGCAAGCTGCGTGCGAGCCATGTCGTCGATGCTCTGGGTGTCTGGGAGTGTGTGTGATGTGCGGCTGCTCGGAGGAGACTGCTGGTACTAGCTTTGGAATGCAGTGAGCAAGTGCTGGTGAGGAGATTGCAGTGGAATGTCACTCCTTAAATAGGCTTACGATCGATGTGCTGATGACAGATGTGCATTGCATGCAGTTTCAGTCGGTGTGGATGCATGCGAATATGTCCATGGATCGATGGCACCTCGCCATCCATGGGAGTTAAGAGCTGGGCAGGAGGTAGTTGGGTGTTGGGTGTTGGGAGGAGGAGCAGGCAGATGGATGTGGATGCGCATACACATATACAGATACAGATACACAGTGGTTAGTTGAGGCAGAGTGAATTCATTAGCAGCCGCCTAACACGACCTAGAGCGCAGGGTGATGGCGGCAGCCTTAGCCGTCAGACGTATACGTGGCTCATCTGATGCCGGCCTGGTTTAGACTGGGTTAGTAATTAGTATCCGGTACCGTAGCATTTTTATTTATATTTGATAATTATTGTCTAATCATGGTCTAACTAGACTCAAAAGATTCGTCTTGTAATTTACAATTAAACTGTGTAATTAGTTATTTTTTTATCTATATTTAATACTCCATACATGTGTCCAAAGATTTAATGCGATGAAAAAAGAGTAAAAAAACTTACAATCTAAACGAGGCCGCAGTTGGAGGCGCATTCACTCTCTCTCTCTCTCAGTGTGTCAGTGTGAGGTAGTTTGGAGTTGGATCTGAGTGCTTATCGCACAATTAACACATACTCTTCTCCTACATTAACACATCAATAATCCATCGATCTGTCTAGATCTCCATTGGATCCTTCCAGTAGTCTTCGTTAATTCCTCCCGCAACCAGAAGAACAGAGATTGAGGACGGACGCGCGCGTACAGCAAGCAGTACAGTGCAGGAGGTTACATGCACATTCAGAAATTAAAGCAGCAGCAGTGGTAGCGATTAAAAGTTGTCCATCAAGTATTGGATGGGAGCCCACATGTCGCTGTCTCGATCGGAAAGCTCCGCCACGTACTATACATGCATCCAGTCCCCACCGCACCGACGCTTGCCAAAACTCGTACGGAGTATGTCCGACTGTCCAAAACCACATCTCTCAATTTTTTTATTCAAAAACAAACTTCTTTCGACCACTAGAGCAGAATACTGCTACCTCGATCCGTTCCAAAAATTACTATTATTTTACTAAATCTCAAATAGATTAGTGTGTTTTTTAAGATAATGAAGGAAAGAGTATCGGCTTCGTATCTTCGTTGGAGAGGGATCAGACCAACTTCTTATAACTTAACAATACTGGATAAACAAAATTCTTATAATAATAAAAAACTCAAAACCCAATTCTAAACAAAGAAGACCTTCGATACGACACAAAGACACTTATTGCCGCGGTCTCCAAATTTTGACAAGTTTCCACCGTAATCACTTGTTGAGCCTCACACCGTTGCAATTGGGCCCAAAACCGAAGTCAATTGGTCCGACGGAATAACACCTGCAAAAGAGAATTGGGTCGACAATTGGCAAAAACAACTTAGTTCCTTGTTATTCAGATTGACCATAAAATAGCCGCCGCACCAATCAGCAAGAGTGATCGAAAATTCTTATATTTCCAAGAATACCATCCATTAAATAAGTTATGGGCATTCCGAGGTGGTTTAAATCCTAACACCATATGGACTGCTCAAAAAAACATGGCATGTGAGCAATCAAAGAAAAGATTTTGGATGGTTTCAGGTTTGCTATAAAAACAGGAGGACCAATCTTCGTTCCAATTCCTCTTTGCCAAGTTATCCTTAGTGAGAATAACCCCTCATTTAAAGAACTAAATAAAGATTTTAATCTTTAAAGGGATCTTAAGTCGCCAAAATACTTGTGATACTTTTAAGCCATTACTGATTAGGTAGTTGTACATCGAGCTAACTGTGAATAAACGTGTTTTATGTAAAATCCAAACAAAATTATCAGTACCCTGTTGCAGGTTAATATTAGCCATCCCTGCTACTAGGTGGTTCCGTTCTAGTAGCTTGTTTTCCACTAATGCCCTTCTAAACTCAACACTAAGTGGAACTTAGCGTAATACATCTCCACTAGTAGAGAACAAACCTTTGATCCAAGGGTCAAACCAGGCTCTAGTCCCGGGAAATATTGCGTCCGGGACTAGAGAGACCTTTAGTCCCGGTTGGTGGCTCCAACCGGGACTAAAGGTCCCTGCCCAACGGCTCCTGCGCCAGGCCGTTGTGGCAGGAGACCTTTAGCCCCGGTTGGAGCCACCAACCGGGACTACAGGTCGACCTTTACTCCCGGTTGGTGGCTCCAACCGGGAGTAAAGCACTTGTCGCGGCTAGTGGCGTGGCCCGGGACTGGAAAGTGACCTTTAGTCCCGGTTGGATCCGGTTGGATCCACCAACCGGGACTAAAGGTCCCCCTTATAAATCCTGCTGGCCGTCTTCTTCCTCCCCGAGCCCGTCCGAGATCTTCAGTTCAAATTTAAGCAGTGTTCTTGCTCTTTCTTCATCCATTCTTCTATTCCTCCGTCGATTTCTTCGATTCCTCCATCGATTCTTCGGTTCTAAAGGTTACCAACTTCATACTCTCATGTTTCACCATTGTCTTATCTCATTTTGTTCACTATATATATATGGTTCTTTATTGTGGGTTTTTTCATTTGTAAGCAATTTGAGCACAAAATCACTTCAAGCTTGCATATTTACATGAAGGAAGGTTAAAGTAGCTAGTTGAACTTGCGGACCGTGTTTATCTCGGCGAGCATGTTCTCTGCCGAGCGGTAACGGACGTCAAGGAGGAGCTTTGATTCTACGAGGGAGAGCGGCAATGGTCGTGGAAGACCGTGTTCCCTTCCTCGTAGAATCGGAGCTCTTCCGTGGCCAAGTACGGTGTCGTCCAGTGGAGAAATACTCGCCGAGATGATCACGTAAGCAAGGTCAACTAGTACAGATGGTTATTTATTCACACATCCCGATATCGTCGTAGTAGTCTGTCAATCACCGTACCCAAACGTAGTATATATATAAATATAAACGATAATCGATTGTTATGTGTGTACACTCCCATTCTTCTGTTAATTTGCGGAAATATCATATGAATTACTTACCTGCCGCAGTAAAAGACGAGAACACAATGACCATGGCCACGGCCATGAAAAATGCCAACAACACAACACTAGCAACTTTCTCGACAAGCAGAGTAGTGTTAAACGCTCTGGAAACCTTTAAACTTCAAGCTTGCATATTTACATGAAGGAAGGTTAAAGTAGCTATTAAAAACTAGTATTCACCGTTCATTTGTAGCATGCATAGCACACTTCATTGTTTAGAGATATAGAGAATTTTAGAGTTTTTTTAATTTTATTTGTTTATAAAATGAGAAATTTATAGTGTATTAAAAAATAAGTATAGAGAGTAGATGGCAACTGCTTCCGGGTCCTCGGCCACTCATTGCATGCGGCAAGTGTTGTGATGAGACGAAGATTGTGATGGAGTACTGAGTGAAGAAGGAGGGTCCCAACAAGGGTTGCATTTTCTACAAGTGTCCGGATCGCAATGTGAGTTATTTTATCGTATTTAATGACTATGGTTAGTTTATACCTATTTTCATGATGGTTGTGATTAAAGTTCTAATTTTCTGTTATAATTTCAGTGGGATGGCACTGGATGTTCAGGCTTCTACTGGGAGGAAGAGTATGTTGAACTCGTGCAAAAATATCTTGCACAACAGGTAGATATGGCGGCTAATGAGGCAGTGATCCAACCGAAGAAGCCCAAAGATGTTGAACAAACGGGGGATCTGTCTGTTTTAGTTGGGATTGGTCGTAAAATCCTTGTGCTGCTAAAGTGCATTTTAGCTTTAGTGTTTTAGTGGTAGTTGGGATTGTCTACATAGTAGCGAGGATTTCTTAAATTTATAGCTTTTGTAGTGGTATGCATGTTGTATAATTAACTAATTATATTCTAGGTTTTAATACGGTATTTATGTCATGTAATGCAGATGAATCGGCATTGGATGTACAATGCTGATCGTCGCTCCCAAGAGTTCATGGACGGCGTGCATTCTTTGTTACGTGCGGCCGAGGCAAACAAACACGATGGTTTCATGTGCTGCCCATGTGCCGTATGTAAGTATACGATGGAATATGCTAACTCAAAGACTCTTCATTCACACTTGTTCAAGTCGGGTTTCATGTCAAACTATATTTGTTGGACGAAGCACGGAGAAACCGGAGTTGTAATGGAAGAAGGTAAAGAAGAACAATGGGGCGATGATGACATTTTTGCTGAATATGGTGCCTTCAATAATACTGCAATGGGGGAAACTGAAGAAGAGGTGGGGGCAGAGGAGAAGCCCGCTGAAGAAGAGGTGGGGGCAGAGGAGAGCCCGCTGAAGAAGAGGTAGGGGCAGAGGAGGAGCCCGCTGACAATCTTGGTCAAGCCATTCGTGACGCACAAAGAGAATGCGAAAGTGAAAAGGAGAAGATCAAGTTCGACTGCATGCTAGAGGATCACAAGAAATTGCTATACCCAACTTGTGATGCGGGGCAGAAAAAGTTAGGTACCACATTGGAATTGCTGCAATGGAAGGCAAAGAATGGTGTATCTGACAAGGGATTCGTGGAGTTACTAAAAATCCAAAAGAAGATGCTTCCGAAGGATAACGAATTGCCCAGCACTACGTACGAAGCAAAATAGGTAGTCTGCCCTTTAGGATTAGAAATCTAGAAGATACATGCGTGTCCTAATGACTGCATCCTCTACCATGGCACGGAGTACGAGAAGTTGGATGCATGCCCTGTATGTCACGCGTCGCGGTATAAGATCAGGCGAGATGACCCTGGTGATGTTGAGGGCGAACGTCCTAAGAAGAAAATCCCTACCAAGGTTATGTGGTATGCTCCTATAATACCACGCTTGAAACGTCTTTTTAGAAACAGAGACCATGCAAAGTTGTTGCGATGGCA